GAGTTTTTAAAGAGGGAGGGGAAAGAGGAATTTGGTCAGCAGGAGGGGAAGACAATTATTGTTTTCAGTGGAGAGTAGCTTATGAACAGCTTTTAATTTCCTCTTTCCTTTATATTAATTTAGCATACTTCAAAAAGCCCATAAAATAAATTTTGTCCTAGAGAATTGACTATTTCAGTGACGTGACAACGTTAATTATGTGTCTGCCTAAATCCCAGTACTAGTAATCTGATACGCATTTACATTTACTGCTGACTGGATGATCTGGTCACAGGACAGCATTATTGGCAACATAATTCAGCAGCCTATCATCATTGTAGTTACATTATGTTACTTTTAAGTCATTAGTGCAAATGGTAAATTTTTTGAGTTTTTATTGTAGCTGAAATAGACATATTCTTAAAAACAATTCAGTCAAGTGTAATCAAGGTTACTAGTCACCGTGGTGGAATAAATAAATAAATAGATACACTAAATGCAGCTATCTTCAATAATGTAAATATTAAGGTTAAGTGGTATTGGTTAATTTGAATGGTATTGCCTTTACTCGTATACAAGTACATTCGTACGTGTAGGTTATTTAGATGTCACGGAAGGACTATAGAGGGTGCGTTTTACGCTCTACACTTGTCAAATTTCGTTTTAGAGACCATACGCTCAGGATTAAATCAAATCGTCATAAACTGTTCCAGCTAGACAACATAGTTTGTGAAATATGTTCCCAAAATAAGATTGAGAATAAATTTATTGTCCAGTGCATGGAGTGTAACAGTATGTTCAGCCGTGTACGCCCAGTTACCCAACTGACAAGTATTGTAAGTTTCGTAGAACTGTATTTACCAAGTTGCTCAGTTTATTACAAATAGTTTTAATTATGCCGCACTGTTTTCTCTGTTTCTTTCTGTTTTGATATTATTGTATTAATATTTGATCCAGTCTCTCCAGAAATGAGTTTTACATGTAATAATGCAGATAATGCAAATAAATGATATTATATCATCTGTAGTAATTTAGAATATTTGACATAATTATAGTTTATGATGTAACTCATTACGTGATCCATTACAATTTACATGTGTGATTTATTAATTTTACAGTATCATATCAGCTAAAGTCACATTAGTACTACTGAAAAGCCCTAT